TCCCACGACCCCCCTGCACTGGCCAAGCGGAATGTCTTTAGCGTCAGCCACACGGCGTCGTCCACGAGGCCGATTCCGGCGCCGCCCTCCGCGAGCGGCCCGACCCCCCCGTCTAGTCACCTTCCCCCTACCCCCACCCTGGCGACGCCGTCCTCACCGCCGAACTTAACAGGGGGAAGCCCAAGCCTCGCGAAACGAGTCCCCACACGCATGAGCCCAGCCATCGTCCCGGCCACCATCCGCCATATGAACCCCAACGCGGAGGAATTCGTCCCAGGGAATGGCAGCCGCCCCGAGGACGGCGCCGCCGCTGGGATGAACATCCTTCCCATCTCCACCGCGGATCTGGAGGCGGAGGCGCTCCAGAAGGACATCCCCCAGACCTCCGCCGCCGCTCGCCCACCGGCAGGGAAGCCGGGGCAGGGACGTCCAGGGGCCAGCAAATCCCCCCTGATCGTCCCGGTACCGCTGAATCTAAAAAATGAAGAGATCCTAGCGATTAGCGATTCGAGCGCCCTCAGAGCTGAGGCCGCGGCCTACGTCCCGCAGCGCACCATGACCCGCGTCATCCTGAGCAAACCATCACCGCTGGTCCTGGCAACCGACCCCTCCAAGGCGAGCATCGAGATGATGCTCGACGACGTATGGTCACTCTTTTACCTCCCGGTGTGGGGGGAAAATATCAAGGAAGAGAACTACAACCCGACCCTAGTCTTCCGTGTTGAAAGTATTCCCACCTTCTGGAGAGTCTTCAACAACGTCCCACAGCCGACGGAGATGCCGATAGGCACGGTGTACCTATTCCGCGATGGCATTGATCCGAAATGGGAAGACCCAGCGAACCGCAACGGGGGTGTCCTCAAGGTGAAAGTCAACCCCGATCGCGTCAATGAAGCGTGGGAGCTTCTGCTTTGTCGCACCATTGGCGACTCTTGGAACCCTGTGGTGCGTACTCAGATCAACGGAATTGCTCTCAAAGTGCGAGAACGAGTATATATCTTGGAGGTTTGGGTAACGAAGTGTACACCCGAGCTCACACGCGACCTAGCAGAACTATGGGAAAACTTGATGGACGGGGCCTTTGCGACTACTTATTACCCACATGAGGCGATGCAAAACAAGGCTCAGACGGATAAAAAAAAACAATGGAAAGGGTACCGAAGATGTGCAGATAGTATTAAACCTTGGAACGTGTCTAGGGTGGGATGTATTGAAAGCAGAAGCGTAATCTGAACATATGTATGCAAATATATATATATCTATATTTCATGTGGGATGATGCATGAACGTAGTGTTCCAAAGGTAGTTACTGATATATAATATGGCGTGAAACCAAGTGAAGAAGAGTAGTTATACTACGCGTTCTTATTTTCCTTCGTTAGGAAAAATCTCTGTTGCTCAAATATTATTCTGCCCTATATAACCTTCTTCTCCAAAGAAAATAATAAAATAGATAAGCAACTCCTACGAACAAAAAGCATAAATATATATACATATATATATTTATATGCATATTGAATAATAATTTCCTTCTGATGCTATGAATTTAGGCTTGTGTATAAAGAGGCTGAATGGTGAAGATATAATTAAAAGAGAATAAAATTATAATATAGCCATGCATAGTTTGCATTTTTTTTCCCCTTGGGGAAACTGGTGTTGATAAACTTTGTCTAAGAATGGACAATACTGCTTTTGGAAATAATTACAAAATTTCTCTTGCATAGTTCCTTCTTTTCTCCTTATCTTACATAGGCACAACGTTGTGTATTTTGTTCTGTTACGCTGGCCGTGCCAGACTTATGGCATTTGCTAATTTCATTTAATAATACATGGAATAACGTTGTGAATTAGTAGTTCTAGACCGTCTAAGTATCGTATGGACGGCAACATAAAAATAAAAGTGTGTGATTTTGATATAAGCAGGATCCATACAGTTGAAAATTAATTGAACCCACTTTATAACCAACGCATGCGAGTAATTCCTATCTAAATAATTCAAAGGTATTTTTGTACCTTTGCATGTAAAACACTCTGGGGGGATCACTATGTGTATTCCTTAGGAACCAAAAAAAATGTAGATGCGAAAGTCTCCACGCAGGCTTAAGCCTTCTTTTGCCTTTTTTACTCCATTAAGAACTTTTTATATCCCATTTACCACATGTAAAGAATTAATAGTAGTATTTGTGACTAGTAATTTTTTCAGCGTCCTGAAGTCGTATTGTTGGTTCACCACAGGTAAACAGCACAATTAGGGAAGCAAAGAAAAGGCGCTCATTGATAACCATTGCCTGTAAAGGTAAGCGAAAAGGTGGTGAAAAATTATAGCTAAGAGCACGCATCAAAACAATTTATAAAGTTTGTACCCCCAAAAAACTAACAATGCGACAAGTGTTAACTGTACGAAAGGCCTGCTTGATTCCCCTTTGTTGCCACACAATTTTCCTGCGGTATACTTCGTTTCAGGCTAGCGACCAAGTCCCATGTGCTGTGGCCTCTTCTACTAGGCACTATTTCACCTCAGGCACGATCTTTACTAAGCGTTCGTATTACACAACGACACATTTTTTTTTGAAAGACGTTTATAAAAACGACCGAGGTGAGGCAAGGCGATTAACCTTTGAAGAACGAGCCGAAAGAAGGATGAAAAAAACACGGGATCAGAAACAAATCAAAGAGCAACTCATACATGAAGCCGAGGCGATAGTGAACAATGACTTCCCAGGAGAATTAGAGCTTATCTACGCCAAGATATTGGAACGGGCAAACATCAGTGCAATGAAGGTGTTGAACATAGTAAAGTGCTTAGAACTGCTGGAAATAGAAGTACCGGGGGGACACTCCGTTTTGCTCACAAAAGTCGCGCAGGTTGTAAAGGTAAAGACCAATATTGTCGAAATTATTCCACATAACAGCAATATTGGGAACACGATCCTGCAATATGTCTCGCGCTTTGATTCAAACGTGCAAGTTTCGAAAGAAGGGTCTAAGGTGAAGATTGTAGTGCCATCGATTACCACCGCCCGCAGAGACAAAACAGCGGACGAGATCAGGACTCTAATCAACATTCTTCGGCAGCGAATCAAACATGCTCGCACCCACGCTGGTAAAGTTCTCCAGGATTGCGGTCTCGACGATGGAGCCCTGTTAGAATTACAAACCTTGCTTGATGATACAATGAATACCTTTGTTGAAGAAAAGGCGTTAGAACTTGAACAACTTGCAGAGGAAGTGATGTCGATGGGAATTGATGAGTCCGATTTTGATTTAGGAAATACATAAAGTAGATTTGAATAGATAGTACTAAAAAAATAAAATATAAATAGCTCTTCTAGGGTTTAATCTTAGAATTTATATTTTTTGATTTGATTTGATGAGAAGATAAAATTAAAAAGTGTCGAAAATCGGAGAATAAACAAGAAGAGAACCAAAAAAGAGATCTACTATTAATTATACACAATATATAATAATTTTACAAAAACAAAATATTTATAAAGTCTAAACATCGTTTTATTAATAAGAAGCAATAAAAATAGACATGCAATAGTTAAAAGGTATAATTGCCTTAGAGTCTTAATTACAAGACTAAATAAGGCAAAGATACAGATTTTACGCATAAAAATAGCATAAACCTTATACTTGCTCCC